GGCATCAGGTGAGCAAGCTAGTGAAACGTTGCACGCGCAAAAGAGAAGATCTGCACAAATATAAAAACTTATTTTAAATGCAAAATTGATTTTGTGTGCTCTAAATACTTTCTTCTTTGCGAGACAAACATTTTCTCCACAAAACTCAGTTCGCGCGTGTGCAAAACGCACTTTTGCGTTTTTCGCAGAATTGTGGCAGAGATCTAATCCCATACAGTCCGCCGCTAACGCACTAAACTGCTCTCGCTGCATGATTAACAACACTAATCATTTCTGTTGAGTTGGGCTGGGTACGTGTCTCCTCATTGGTCGTAAGATCTGTGATGTCATCATGTCATTAGAATGACTCCACCCATATTTGCATCTTGTGGTTTGCATGTGTAGATTTGAAAGCATTTTCCCATTTTATTCACAACTAAGGTTTTTAAAATTTCCACAGAAACAGATTGAAGTCAATGCAAGAGTTTGAACACACGTTCATGTCATATTACAGCCCAAAATCAAAGGAAAACTGTAAATTATATTTTGCTTACAGAAAATTAAACACATTTTCTGTAATGCAGAAAAAAAATCCCATTTTCATTTCAAAACCAACACTGTATTATTGTAAATGCAGCTGTAAGTGGTACAGTAAGTTGTGTCACTGTAGTATTTGTGTACTGAATTTAATTTGTTGCTTTTTATTTACAAAAAAAAATTGTGTCCAATCAAACATGATTATTTCAATTATATTACAGAAACTAGATTTTTTTTTTGTGAGATTTACCCATAAAAATATATTAATAAAAATGTCAAACGAATTTCTTCCAGAATCATCTGGAATATAAATAAATTAATAAAGTAATGTTTAAAAAAATAATAATATGATGTAGTGAAAAGTCATTAGTGTTTTTACAGTGTCTAATCTGGTTAATAATTATCATCATAAAATGCAATATTAATAATAATAATATAAAAAGTTATATAAACTAATAGTCATAAAAATGAATAATAATATTAATATGTAATAATATATTTTTTTAAATGATGTTGTGAAAAGACATTAGTGTTTTATTGTGTTTAATTTGGGTAATAATCATCATAATCATCATCATCATCATCATAAAATGTAATAATAATAATATTAAAATTAATATAAACTAATAATCATAAGTTAAATTAATATTTATATGAAGTAATATTAAAAATAATGCTATGATGATAAAAAAAACTATCAGTGTTTTTACTTTGTCTGATCTAGTTAATAATCATCATCATAAAAAGTAATATTAATAATAATGTGAATATTAATATAAAGTAATTTTGAAAATAATACAAATATGGTGATGTTGTGAAAAGCCATCAGTGTTTTTACTGTGTCTAACCTGGTTAATAATAATAATAATCATCATCATAATCATAATCTTAAAATTAATGTTAATAATAAAAATAATATAAAGTCATATTAAAAGATAATATTATGATTTGAAAAGCCATTAGTATTTGTACTCACTTATCTCACTTATCATAATCATCACCATCATCATTATCATAAAAGTAATATTAATAATAAAAAGAATAATAATAATATAAAGTCATAATAAAAGCTGTAAAAAATGTGAAATATTTTTACAATCTAAACCAGTTGTTTTCTATGTGAATATCTGTTAAACTGTCATTTATTTCTGTGATGCGCAGCTGAATTTTCAGCATCATTACTCCAGTCTTCAGTGTCACATGATCTTCAGAAATCATTCTAATGATTCAAGAAACATTTCTGATTATCATCAATGTTGAAAACAGTTGTGCTGCTTCATATTTTTGTGGAAACTGTGATGCATTTTATTTTTCAGGATTCACAGATGAACAGAAAGTTCAAAAGAACAGCGTTTATTTGAAATAGAAATCTTTTGTAACATTATAAATGTCTTTCCTGCCACTTTTGATCAATTTAATGCGTTCTTGATTAATAAAAGTATTAATTTCTTTAAAAAAAAAAATCTTACTGACTCCAAACGTTTAAACATTAGTGTATAAAATAGTATGATAATAGAATAAAAAGAAAAATAACTTATGAAGATGTCTTAATGCATAATGAGCCTAATTTACATAGAAAGTAATAGTGCTTTTTATTATTACAGGAACATATTACTTATGAATAGATTTATAGACAGCGCTGTGACGCATGTGCTGTACAGCTATTTCAAGAAAAAAAAAAAATTATACTTCATATAATTTAATTATGTTAATTTATTATAACACATTATAATCAATATTAAAGTACATTTAAGGTTTGAAATAACACCTGGAATTGTTAAAATCATCTCACTTGCAGGAATAAAAAACCTACACAGAAATAATGCATAATAGGGTTTATTAATAGTGCATTTGTGTGGTTACAGCTCAATATGTTATATAATCAAAAGAGTCCGTTTGGGATTTTTATAAATAATGCATTAAAATGCATAGAAATAAATTATATATATATTTAAATACATTTTATATATAAAAAGATTCCATTTTTATTTTTTATGAATCATGCACTAAATTATATATAAATGATGTAAATTATATAAAAAGATTCCGTTTTTGATTTTTATAAATTCTGTATTAAATAGCATATAAATAAATTGTGTAAAATATAAAAAATATTTAAATTATATAAAAAGATTTCAGTTTTTGATTTTTATAAATTATGCTTTAAATTACATATAAATAAATTGTGTAAAATATAAAACTATTTAAATTATATA